CCCGTAGTATAGGAATATCAATAGAGCTCGGGTTGAGGGAATAACTTAGTGAATTTTTTAGTCGTTGAAGTTGAAAGTGAAGTCGGCGAAAATTAGCACCTTCGACAACTGCCTCTATTTACGTCTACTCGAAGTGCTAAAATCGCTTAAGCTGCTCCATACATTTGGAAAAGGTTGAGCTAGAAGTCTCAGCAAGGGAATCTCAATAGGACGCTTTGGAACTAATTTTAAGAATTTCAAAGTTGCCAACCTTCACCTAGCCAGTTGATATTCCAATACTACGAGAAGTTTGCTATTAAACGATATTAAGCTTGCTTGCAAAACGTTTCACTTTTAGAACAAATTTTTCAATTGAAAAAACGGCCATTACTTATTAGCCAACCCAATAGGTAGGACACTTTAAGCTGAAACCAATAATTATTTTTTGAAAAGCAGATCCCGGAGGAGCATCTTTGGGAGATGTGATCGCAAACAGGAACAGTAAAGGTTGTGCGATTAAAGAAAAAGTAAGGGATTGCATAGCAGAAGCTTGGAGTAAACAACAAAAGAAAGTGGCTATTTGCGACAAAAAATCGAGAAACGATTCCAAGGATAGTTTGAATTTTGCAAACTTGAAGACGATTGCGAGAAAATATTGATGTGGGCTAATCTCAATCTAAACTGACCTGTTAGTCGTACGAAAATCGAAAATTCAAATAAAAGCGGCACCAAGCTTTTGCTGCTACTTTGCCGGCACTTTCAGACTGTGACACTCACAGAGTACAAAAAAAATATCTTCTGAAGCTCTGAACCACCCTGTCGGGATGTAGCCATACTTCCTTCTCCAAAGTCTTGTTTTGGACTGATTAGAGCCTTTTAGAGTTAGAGAGAGATTAGAGTTTTCTTATTTCTCAAGTCTGGAGTACTTCTCTGTGCTTTCCTCTCACAAAGTCTTGTCGTCTTATTTGCTTTATACGTCTGTCATTACTTTCTCATCACTTCCAGGGTCATCCGCTAACATTTCTTTTTATGTTCACATCTTCTTGAGAAGTCCCTTCTGTATCAAGACTTCTAAAACGACATCTGGTTCTAACTTGCAGCGTCCCACCTGGTGTTCGCGAGCGCGGCGATCGCGACGTCGCCCGGACTTATGTATCTAATGGCGGACCTATCTACCGGAGATTAGGAGTAGTACGGTTTATTAATACCCTGATCACGAAAATAACATTCATTTCCCGATACCAGCGCAATCTAGCGCTCTGCTAAGGCTGACCCTCTAGGAGGAGGAGCGATTCCCATCTTACCAGCTTTAGCTCAGCTTTAACAGGTCGCAGATGATCACATTACCTTGCAATGTCGCGGGCCATAATGAACGTCTTATTCGTGATAGGGATGTAAAATAACCCCCGTATGCAGAATTATATTGATCTTAGTGAGGAAAAAGGCAAGTCTGTCTTTATTTTTATGGCTCTTTAATCGCAAAAAATACACCCATATAACCGAAAATTCAAAACTTGAATCAACGTAAAGTTATGTAAAAAACGAAAGGGAGTGAATGGGATTTGGTTCTTGCGAAGCTGAAAGGCCATTGCAGCTACTTCAGTAAACGTTAAGGTCAGCTTAACTAAAAATTCTTTTTTGGGGTTGGAAATACATGAATACCGCGCCTAAGTTAGATAATCACGAACTTGATTGGGTATTACGCATACCTCTTTGGAAAAAACTTTATCCCCATGGAGTTTGTCTTTACTCCAACTTTATCTTCATGGAGTGTGCCTTTTCTCCAGGCAGTATGAAGAGAAATTGTTTTCAGCAGGGACGCCACCCGCAATCATTCTCAGCTGTGGTGCGTAGGGGCAGAGCGCGAATATAGAAACACACATTACACTTATCACTCCAATCGGGATGTCTAGTTTATTAGTAAGTAGAGAAGAAGACAAAGCTATAAATATCTTACCATACATCCAAAGGGCTCACTAATCTTTGTGAATCTACGGAGGGACGCGATCGGGGGTCGTTGCGACAGTGGCACACAAATCACATGAAAGAATCCAGACTAAAAGGTGAAAGTGGGAGGAGAGCGGCGGGTGGACGGAAAGAAAATACGGGAAAAGCGCGCAGACATTGGCTGAAGAAGGAAGCAGAGGAGGATCTACTGCAGGTGAGGAAGACCAAAAGAGAATCGAGTCCCATATCCAGATCCTACGCTGAGGTTGTAGACGTCAGGAGAGTGATAAGGTGAGGTTGCTGGACAGGCACGGACTATAGGTAAGCATGATTTCAGAATAGTCGCATATTTTACATACTTCTTTCTTTTCAAATTTTGGTAGTAGTAGCAGTGACCTAACTTTTTCTACTGCGCTGGATAGTCCCTCTAACCTGTTTGTACATTGTGAGCAGCAGCTTGGAGTGGAAGAGTAATGGGCTGCATGGCCGCAGGGGTAGAAGAAAGGCTTAGGAGTCCTGTTGATATGGGATAGTCAATTCAACTTAATTGAAATGATCAATAACAGAGAGCGACGGACTAAAGGTTTTGTGCCCTAATGGTCCGGGTAGATTGATACAACTTTGATGATCGTGTCCATTTTATATCTATTTTGCGTACTAAGAAGGTGTTTATCGTTCACTTTCTTGCTGATGACAGATGTTCGGCATTCTGACGTCGTGTATTGAGTCATTGCTATCATTTGAGTACGAGTTACCATCTGTGATAGTGAACAAGTCACATACCCTAGTAGTAATCTTTTCAAAAATCATGTTCAGGTTTTCACTAAGAAATTTCCCAAAATTGCACAGAACAGAATAATCAACACAAATTGCGTATACTCGTCTAAGCCAGATCCGGGACTATAAAGATGGAGAAGTAGCGACTACGCCTTCGGATAACCGTCGAGTACTCGTGAAACGTGAGAACTGAAACGCTCGGGAATGGAAATCAGACCGAATGAGCAGCCGAGCCTCCAGAACTCCACCACCTCCACCAGCTCCACCTTCACCACCACCACCACCATCACCTCCTCCTGTCCAAGAATCCATCATCGAGTGCACTGTGGTAAGCCTTTGTTGATATATTATGGTAATTGAGTTCATGTACGTCAATTGAATTTAGGCGCGCTACTCCGGCTCATGGTGGGCTTTCTCAAAGACGTTTTTTTTCCCAGGGACACATGGATAGAAGACATGTAAAAGATCACTGTCCTTGCCCGCTCCGTATAGTATAGCGCCAAGAATGGCAATCTTTAAGTGAGAACCGTGAGTCAACTACACTTCCAGCGATTATGGGTCGTATGTTCTGGGGTTGGAAACGAAAAGCGTAGCTAGCTGTCTCAGACGAGGTGAATAAAGGGAAGAAAGCTTGCGAACGAGCCTTTCTTGTTCTGTGCATCTGTCCATTTCATTTCAAGTAGAAGCAACGAAGCAGGGGCAAAAGTGTGTACAAATGAGCGATACGGTGTACACTAACGCGCCACGGAGCCATATTTGTGCTGAGGACCGCACTGAGCGAGCTCACATCATAGCTCCACAACTCCAGAGTTTTCCGAGGCGGAACACCTTAGCCACCCTTGTACACTTACCCTTACCTTGTGTGACTCCCATAAGGTGTCGTTAAGGCAGAAGGCTAAATTGATCAAAAAACTCATTGGGAAGGAGCTTCAGAGGCAAACATCGAAAACAACTTATTGGAATGGAGCTTCACTACTCAAAAGTTAATTGTGCATTTAAGCCAAACCTTCAGCACTCTCCTGCCAGCTCCACTGTGCGTGTCCTGGATGTGATTTCCTATAATAAACGATTTCAGGTAATGATCTGCCGTGGGCGGGTGGAGAAGGCACCAACATCTACGGTACCAGTATCGCCTAAAGTAGAGTTCTGCAAGACATTGCCACCAAAAGTGAAACCGCCAGTAGCACGGGTGACTCATTATGATTCGAAGTTCAATAACATATGCAATACTTTGAATACGTGAATTTCGTGCACTTTGCAAGTACATTTTAGTCACCGTCTCCCAAACTAAGACCTCCAATACCAAAGGCTCCTTCACCAGCGCCGTCGGCGAAGGCTTGCATTCTGAGGAAGAGTCGAGAAGATTGCAGCAAACCATCACAGATAATACCGCCAGTGAAGAGAAATCTGTCAAACGGCAGAATCGTAAGTTTTAGAGCGTCTATGGCTCTCTATGAGATTTCACATTTGGCTCGTTTCTTCCATTTGGAGTGCTTTTTGCTATACCCAGGGCACGCCATCGCGTGTGATGAATTCCTGAATAGTACGACCCCCCTCCCTTCATAGCATCCGTGAAACAAAAAAACCAACGATCAAAAAAATTTTTTTGGCACTGCTCACCCTTTACTGCCCCAATCTTCCAAAAACAGGCCAGTTTTTGACCGACTTTTTCTGCGTTGGCAGAATTGGCTAAAAATTTGTTCCCTGGGGTAGTTTGACCTCCTGAACATGAATATCACATCCGCTCGGCACGAAACCTCCTGGCGCCCGCGCCACAGGCGCCGGCGCCAAAATACCTTAAATCACCAATTCGCTGAAAACTTTTCCCCATGGTATTCTGACCTCCTGAACACGAATATCACATTTTCAGTTCGCAGAATATCACATTCGCAATTCGGGAACGGCGCTCGCGCTACAGGTACTGACGCCAAAATACCCGAGTCACCGGCGCCTGTGGCGCGGGCGTCAGGAAGTTTCGGGCTGAGCGAATGTGATATTCGTATTCAGGAGGTCAAACTACCAGGAGACAACATTTGAGCCAAAACTGTCCACGGAGAAAAAAGTCGGTCAAAAACTGGCTCAATTCTGGATGGTTGGGGCAGTAGAGGGTAAATAGTACCCCACACTCTTGCCTCACTTTGTTCATCATAAATACTGCCAATTTTTTCTCAAACCAGTTACGGTTCCCCTCCCTCGCAGTCAAATACGCCTTCCCCCCGTTGTAATTATCACAACGATGGCGTGCCCTGGCTATACCATCAGTACCATCCATCTTATCGTTGGTTGTCAAAGTGCTTGAACGGACGCCAGCATAGCCTCCGTTCGTCCTCTTGCCGACCAAGTAGACTTCCATAGCTCAAGGGTCACAACGAACTTATTTCTCTCGTTCCTTCCGGGAAACCACTGTCTCCCAGTTCTGATTAATTTAGGTAGTCTGCTGTAACCCTAATAGTGTAAGGACTCTCTTCAGCGGTTGTGCTTATCTTGTTGATGGAACTTTCTGTGAGCGCTCAGGAATGGGAGTCGCATGTTATTCAATCCGACTTATGAAATAGCCACAGGTAGCCCACTAGGTGCCAACAGTTGGTCATGCTATACAACAGTGAATGGTGGAGCGCTGCTATCTACAGACAATCACGATCAAGTGGTATCATGCGGATGGAAGAGTGCCCCTTCAGACGACTCTTCCTTCCAAACCCATGGAGCACAGGGATATGGGGAGTTTGTAAAAACAAGTATCCAACTACCAGATACAGTCAGTCTGCAAAATCACTCATTGATATTTTTGCTTGAATACACTGCGCAGAAGGAAATATATGAGTTGAAGCAAGAGTATAGCAAATTTGGTCTAGTATTCAACCTACTCCGAGATAGCAATTTGATTAGCGTCACTTGTGCAGGCTCTTTAGTATTAACTTGTGGAGCAGCCTCTAGATTCACCAAGAGGATGTTTCAACAACGATAAAATTTTAATATGCTTCCTTCATTCTTTGCTTTATTAAGGCTCCTGCACGAACGACAGAGACATCATCCGGCCCTCCAGAAATTGTCGAGGCGAGAGTGTCGCGTATACCGAAACGAACGGATAGCGTGAAAACGCCAATTATTGAGAGGAAACTGCCTCCACTTCCTAAATCTGTGACACAGCGTAGTCACAGTGCTGAGGAAAAGGTGAGCAGTTCAACATACAAGAACTTAAAGGCAGTTGGCACGATAATTCGGTATACTGTCTAAAGTGGTAGCAGGAGTGCTGTATAGTGAGGAAATGGCAAAACAGCGAGGTGAGATGAATTTGAAAAAAACCTTTGCTCTACACGACTCTGGAGCCATTTTCGAACGAGTTCTCTATTGGCATTGTGCCAGTAACTGCTACGGTAGATACGTGTCTAAAACTCACTTCTGACGTCGTGTCTAAAAGTTTCGAAAGGCCCCATCGAATCCCGAACGCTACATATTTCCAAGAGCAGGCAACATTTAAGCGCATTTCAATACTTTGGAACTTGAAAGCTTAAAGGCAGTTGGCACGATAAATTCCCCAAGACGAGTAGGATTAATACGCCTGGCAGGACGGAATTCCGCGACCCTGAGCAGGCGCTGCATAATGCCTTTCCCAAGGAAGGTGCCCTATAAGGGCCCTAACAAGCGACAACATTGCGACCCGCCCACTGATGAACGACCGTTCCTGACGCTCTCATTCATTTGCTAAGCAAATTATGAAGCGAAGGGATTGGTATGAAGCGGCCGTGATGCTGCATGGATATATGAGTACACATATGCAGCCACCTTCGGTAGCGGTTATTGGCAAGATGCCTACGGGAAACTCGTCCAAAATTGATTTCTAATACATTGAAACGGAGGCTCTTTCTTCGCAGGATTTTGACCGTTTCACTCCGTTCTTTCGCCATTTCCCCACTATATAGCGCCCTACTAGCATTTTAGGCCGAGCACCAAATCATCGTGCCAACTGCCTTTAAATGAAACTCCTTGAAAGTGCGCTCTTCTTCTGTCCAACCATCTTCTTTAAAGGAAGTTATGGCTTCCTTGAAACCCTTGCTTCATTAAGAGGCAGTTGGCACGACAGTTTGGCACTCGGTCTAAAATGCTAGCAGGGCGCTATATAGTGGGAAAATGGCGAAAGAACGGAGTGAAACGGTCAAAATCCTGCGAAGAAAAAGCCTTCGTTCTTGATGAAAAATCGATTTCGGACGAGTTTCCCGTAGGCATCTTACCAATCACCGCTACCGAAGATACGGCTGCATATGTGTACCCATATACCCATGCGGCACAGCCACTGCTTCATACCGATCCCTTCACTTCATAATTTGCTTAGCAAATGAATATACGAGCCTCAAGGACGGTCGTTCATTTGTGGGCGGCGGGCATGGTGGGTGTTCGGGTCTGTATGTTGTAGCTTGATAGAGCCCTTATAAGGGTATCTTCCTTGGAAAAGGCGCTAGGAAGCCCCTGCTCAGGTAGCGGTATTCCATCCTGCCAGGCATATCCTACTCGTCTTTAGGGATTTATCGTGCCAACTGCCTTTGGGGTTGTTGGCAAACTTGCCCCAACTCCATTTAAAGGACTCGGATCCGTCAATTCAAAATTGGAGCGCAATACCTCATGAGCTGTAGTACCGTGCACTGTACTGTGAATTTATGGAATGTTTCGAGTTTCATTATGAAACGGTTTTCTGTCAGATGGTGTTCACTGCTGAATATTGTGCCCTACCTGTCAATCATGATTTCCTGTCTCACATTTTTTTCTATCTCTAGTGGGCTCGGTTTTGTTAACTGTTATTGTTTCCTACTTTTTGCTAATGGAAAGTACTTCATTCAGATACCTTCTTAGATAAATTTGTTGCGAATCTTTAAAACACGACGTCTGATTGTGAGTTTATGGGATGACCAAAGGAAGGTGCTAGGAAGTTAGAGGAAATCTTGGCATTGGTTCCCTTTGTATATTTCGGAAAAAAATGCTTGAATAGCAAAACTGCTCCTTTAACGCCCAAGGTACGGAAAGACAACAAATTGTAAAAGGGTGGGGGGGGGTGGTCGCGTGGATTCTAAAATCCCCAACGCATGATGTGCCCTGTACTGACTTCTTTTATCCTGCACTTATTGCTCAATTTCAGGGTCGCGAGGATGTATGGAGTCGTCTGTACACGGACAAGAGGAACATGCTCAGAAAGACTCGCGATGTTGATTCTTCTCGAACTTCAATCGCAGAAAACGAAATCACTACGACTATGCCATCTCCTTTACCATCACCATTAGGACAGCTTCGTCCACCAACTGATTTCAGGTCATTAGTTCTACTCTTTTCCAGAGAAAATATTTCAGGGCACACTATTTGCTGTGTAACGCACAACAGCGATAGTATTAGTTGCTGAAGAGAGAGAGAGAAGTCGTGCTTTATCAGGAAAAAAGAACTTTTCTGAATCCTTGAAATCCCTTCAGAGACTGTCACTTCTGCTATTCTATCAGCGCTCTTCGGGCAGCAATTTTTTTGGAAAAAAATAGTAGAAGCCTATGTGGATCATGAAGTGGGATCGCACCAAGCGAGGCGTGGTTCATATCTAGCCGGAATTTCACATAACGCAATGATGTGCCTCTTGAACCCTGCATTCCAGAGAGTTCCGAGTGTCATATATATCACATAAGCTGTCGTCAGTGACGTTTTTCTGAGAATTAGCCTTAAATGGCTGCGGTTTTTCTACATTTCGTAACGATTTTTTGTGTTCTGAAGTAAGTAATTTATTCGTTGGTCACTCGCAATGTTAGCAAATCTTAGGTGGGGGCAGGGTACAGCATCATGATGTGTTAAATGGTGACGTTAGTACGACCTCCCCTCCTCGAAACGAGGTCCCGGTACGACCCCCCCCCGTCAGCTCTGCCCCTAAGGCAGCGTTCATACTTGTAGCGCTACAGCGTCGCGCTACAGCGTCGCGCTACAGCGTCGCGCTACAGCGTCGCGCTACAGCGTCGCGCTACAGCGTCGCGCTACAGCGTAGCGCTACAGCACCGCTTCGCAACGTACTGCAATTTCCAACGTTAGGATGATTAGAGTTGCTTATAGAGAAAAGTGGGAAGGTTGCTGGAGTTTTCTTGAGAAATTCACGGAAAGGTGAGACTGATACAGCTGTAACTATTAGGTTGGCTAATAAGTAATGGCCGTTTTTTTCAATTGAAAAATTTGTTCGAAAAGTGAAACTGATAGGAAACTTCTCGTAGTATAAGAATATCAAAAAAGCTTTGGTTGAGGATATAGTTTTTGTGAATTTTTTAGTCGTTGAAGTTGGAAGTGAAGTCGGCGAAAATTAGCATCTTCGACAACTGCCTCTATTTACGTCTACTCGAAGTGCTAAAATCGCTTAAGCTGCTCCATACATTCGGAAAAGGTTGAGGTAGAAGTCTCAGCAAGGGAATCTCAATAGGACGCTTTGGAACTAATTTCAAGAATTTCAAAGTTGGCAACCTTCACCTCGCCGATATTGGGCAGGCTCACGTCTGTTCCACCTGAAATTTTATGCTAATATTTGAATGTTTCGCTGATATGTTTTGCATGTTCTGATAGCAAATTTCGTGCTCTATAATATTGCAATGGGATCCGTTCTCCGTTCTTGTTTGCTTCCTGTTAATTTCAGGTTATCATTACGGAACGCGAGGTCGATGAGAATTAGCGTTCCCGACTTCCTCTCCCTACCGCTGTCCACGGAAGCTTCAAAGCTCCTAGAGCAGCTCAATAGAATCGCCATGGTTTGAGTAAGGCATAGAGTAACAGATTAGTATTAGGACGGCTCACAATTGATTCTGGAAAAAAGCACAACCGACAACGTTGACCTTGCAGACATCCGGTCGACCCATACCTCACGATTTTTCCTTAGTAAATTTCAAACACAGTATTTACAACACTATAAAAAAATATAGATATTTACAATAAACTAGTCAATGATATATTCCCCATTGTTTCTTACAACCTCCTCCCACCGATCAGTCAGCTGCTCAATGCTTTCTCGATAAAAATCCATACATTCCATATTACCAACCTAAAAACAAGGAAATCAAACGGATTTTCCAAAATAACTGCACCGCAGTGTTATAGAGCACGAAATTTGCTATCAGAGCATACAAAACACATTAGCGAAACATTCAACTATTAGCATAAAATTCGTGGAAATCGGGAACGCTAATTCTCATCGACCTCACGTTCCGTAATGATAACCTGAAATTAACAGAAGCAAACAGCTCTGAAGAACAGATTTCCATTGCAGTAATTCTGCTATCAGGTTATGCAAAACATATCAGCGAAACATTCAACTATTAGCATAAAATTTCAGGTGGAACAGACGTGAGCCTGCCCAATATCGGCGAGGTGAAGGTTGCCAACTTTGAAATTCTTGAAATTCGTTCCAAAGCGTCCTATTGAGATTCCCTTGCTGGACTTCTAGCTCAACCTTTTCCAAATGTATGGAGCAGCGATTTTAGCACTTCGAGTAGACGTAAATAGAGGCAGTTGTCGAAGGTGCTAATTTTCGCCGACTTCACTTTCAACTTCAACGACTAAAAAATTCACAAAAATTATTCCCTCAACCGAAGCTGTTTTGATATTCTTATACTACGAGAAGTTTCCTATCAGATGATATCAAGCTTGCTTGCAAAACATTTCACAATTTCTAATTGAAAAAAAAACGCCATCACTTATGTGCCAACCCAATATATACCATTTTCACTTTAAAGACACATGGTACGCTCATACACGTTGAGGGTGTACCCTGGGTGGGAGCGCCCTGAACTCAGCATAAGACTCTTCACTGATACTTGTGGAGTGATTGAATAGAATAATTGAGCTAGGACACGTATTGGATTTTGGATGCCCTGCAACACTGACTTATTGGGAGTAAGTTGAGGTTCAAAGCGGCTCAACATCTGGGATGGCCCAAGAGAGTACTCCTTTATTCGCTTTCTTTACGGTCACTGGGCGCCATTCTAAAGCTAGATGCGCAGGCACCCAAAGTAATATTAGTGCCTATGTAGTTCAAAACATATTCTTCAAAAACCTAATACGTAAGCAATTCATTCCACGAGGTGAAATTTCAGAATCATGATCATGCTCGAATGAGGGTGTGGCTGCGGAGGTGAAGCTCCCGGTAGGACCGGGAGACGTGCAAGAGTACCATAAATTGCCTCTTCGTCACGCGCGGCAATGGGCGCGACGTTTCCGTATTTTGTAATGCCCTTCCGATTGGATTCCATGTAGACAAGGACATCGTAGACCTTATGTCCATTTTCGGGTCACACCTTGTCCGTTCTCGACCAATACCGCCCAAAATCGCCTTCATTAGTGGGCGCGACGTCTACGCGACTCCCACTGGCGCGGCGTATTAGGATTCTCTTGCCACATATCCGGTGGAGCAAGAGCAGCTAGCGCATCCTGCAAGATTGCTTAATCGCTACTTTTTAAAAGGCTCATGAGGTAAAATGATGGGCTACGGGGAACGTTATAGGTTACCGGTGATTTCTAGCGAACAAACGAAAAATGTTCTTGTCCGACGCGCCTTTTTTTCCTTTGGAAAAAGCGGTTGTGGTCAACATGTGAAGTACCATGTCCTTGCGCTAAGGTTAATGTATACCTTGAACAGTGACTTCTTTTTACAGGGACAGGTTCCTCTAATAACCCTACATAATACTCTTGTTCAGGCTCAGCAATTCCTTGGATCCCGCTCAGAGGGAGCGTCTTGCTGCCAATCAAGCGATCCTCGATCGACAAACCGAAGAGCTGAGGCAACTGGGGGTATTGTAAAAAGCAAAACCTATTCCAGTTTAATTATTTATACAGATTTACGTCCTCGCAAGAAGTGTTTATTGCCAAAAGTTTGATTGTACTGATACGGACTTTCTTCGACTACATTCCCATACGCCCTTTTTTTTTATTGGGGCTTGAATTGTGAACAGTTCAATCGAAATCAGTTTCCAAAATGAGCCAAGCGCGAAGGGCTGAGAACATCCATACACAGCGAAGATTGTGTTTAATATTGCTGAGAGTTGTAAACTTTTTATTGATTGCTCCAAACCATCTATACGTGTCTTGCTGATATATTATATATTTTTTATATTATTGATGTTGCGATGTGACATTATTGAGATGATCATATCTCAAAAATAATTGCTTATTTGAATAAAAGTTTGTGTTCGTTGTTGATAACCATGGCATTTGCAACACTGGGCGACGATGGTTCAGTAATCACCACTCCATCGCATTTCCCTCAATCTAAAACCCTCTTTTGCTAGTCACGCTGCTTCTGCGGAGGAGAAAAAAGGATGCTCACTGGAGTCATTGCAAGTTAGATGTGTTGTGAGCAGAACCTCCGTCCTTGGATGGAAACCAAGTTAGGGTAGGTGCTCTATTCATACCCAGTCGAACAGCCTGCTGGTTCGGTTTCACCAATCTAGCGTCCTTCTGACTTTTGTTGTGTTAGGATACACAGTTGCTGCCGCAGAACTCCCATCAGCTCGAATTGTCAACGCTCCCCTCATACCTATTACTGTTACCAGTAATTCATGCGGTCGTGGTACAAAGCATTCAATGCGCGGATGAGAGATATGTCAGGCAGTTACCTTGTTTCTCAAAAAAAGAACGAAAGAGGGAATGCAAGAGGAAGGCGAAGGCAGGCCGATGACAAAAAGCGCCGGCGATCCGTCTGGTATCATATGTTTCTACGGCGATCAATGGAAATGGAAAGAAAGTGATGTTTAGGATCAATAACACAAATAACTATGGGAGACGGGCAAGAGAATCGTAATTTGTTGCTCCGCCACGCGCGGCGATGGGCGCGGCGTTTTCTCAGCTCGTGTTAACCTGTCGACTGGAGCACCGGACTTTATGTAGCTCTCATCGTAGACATTCATGAATATTTTCGGTTCCGAATTGCCTGTTGTCGCGATCTGCTACCCCCTGGCAACCGAATCCGGCCAATTCGTGCCCAGGTGCGACGTTCCCGCAAAGCCCCAGCAGGCCGGTGAATTACGATTCTCTTGTCGCATACCCAATAATTATGTATTCCTCTGGGAGTGCTTTCAAACCGATCAACGAATTTCGGACTCTTGGCCACCTAACTCGGCGCATGCTGTGTCCACTCTGGAATAGCCTTCCCATCTGCTCCGCCTAACCGCTGCTCCCTTTCATTCACAATAGTGTGATTGTCTTTCGGGCTCTATGTAATATCCTGACGGCAGTTCCCTACCCAGTTCATTAACACTTTATTCGCCTATCGCCCGGCAGGATGCCTTCCTCAAGAGCCTGTGAAGGTATAAAGCGTGGTTCTTGGTTTGTCGAGACCACTCAAACATTAAGGGGCCAAAGAAGATTTAATCATGCCA